CAGTGTGTGTGTTATGCCAATCACACACACACACACACACACACACACACGAGGCATAGTCTACATGTCCCTCATTAGAAAAAAATGCCCTGGGGACAAATTCCTTATGCCACTGCACTGTGCTAAATGAACTGAGAAGGTTATGTCAAGATCTGGCAAAAAAGCTAATTGATGACATGAAGTAAGAAATAATAAAAAGAACTGCGTGTCCTTTTTCACCACAGCTTTAAGCCACTAAATAGTACTGATCGAGACACTTAAGTGGAGTCGGGTCGTGTCAGCCATTTTAGTCTTTCACTGAAGTTATTTTAATGAGGAAAATACACAACAAGGGCTAAAATAACAAGCGTGACTCTTGCATGCTGAGTACTGCCGTCACTCCACTGGACAATAGTGTTTTCATGGACAAAACAGGAGTGAGAAGCACTCCAACAGAGAGGCACTCAGAGTCTAATCTGTGGGATACAGTGGCACTCTCACCAAGCAGTGGGCTAAACAATTCACAAGCAATTTTGCTAATCGCTGAGTCTGCAAAGCAGACAAAACAGAAGAGTGGATAGAGTCAGATCCCCCAAGAGCTCATGCCCCAGTCTGACCCTCCATACTCCCTGTAGTCCTCCCATGACATCACAGCTTATCATCTTGTACAGAGTGCTTTCTTGTATCACGTAAAAATCACCACCACAGCATATTATTTTCTCTTTGCCTCCCAGCTCTTTCCTTCCTTGCTGTTGTGGGATGCTACCCTGTACAGAAAACCCAGTCTACAGGTCTCCCGTAGAAATGGGAAGGAGGAAGCCCCAAACCCATGCTAGGAAATGTTCTGGCATCCTGTTGTTGGGTTTGTTGTAGAAACACAGAGGATACTATCTCACTAAAGGTAAGCAAAGGCCCTCAAAGTATCTACATGGGGGAAAATATTACAACACCCTGGTGACAAAAGAAAGCCCCATTGGACTTTTTTGATACTTTGATATATTGTCTATCAATCCTTATCGGGTTGGGCTTCACCTATTTGTAGTTTGGACATGTGTCAGGCATTAGATGTATATAACATATTGGTCATAACCGATCCAGATACTTTTGTTACACTGGAGATTAGAAAGAAAGGGAAGAAATTGATCAGAGTTACTGACAAACTCTGACTTTCACATTATTTTTGCAGAGAATGAAAAAAAATGGAAAGCTGGAAACAGAAAACCCCTCTGCAATGTTCTTGATTAAAACTTACTCATAAAAACACTTGCATTGACCACAGCTTCCCAAACATGTTCACGCCACTTAAAGTTAGGACCTTTAGGATTTAATTAAATAAGCCTGCCTTTCCAATATCATTCTGGATTACTGAAAAAGTAGCCCGATTAAACAGGCCTAAATTTTAAAGGCCTTGTATCCAAACAAGTCTGAACACTAAATTGGAAAGTTGGAATCATTAAAGCTGCAGTAACCACTTGGTGTTGTTATTGCTTAGTGCTTAATGCTACTAAGGACACGGCTGCAAAGTCTTATTCACTCCAAAACAAGAATGGTGCAGGAAAAAACCTTCGATATCTGCCCAACAGGCCAAGTTGTAATGTGATCACATCTCCTCTAACAAGGGGATTTTCACATTGTCAATGTAATTTTTCCCTCTTTCAATCCCCAGTGGCACTAATCTATGCTTTACAAAATGCCAGGCTGCACCACATTTCGCTTCAGTGGTGTCGAGATCCCAGCCTACCACTTGGCTCATCTACTTCACTTAGCGGTTTTCATCATTTCTGCGAATGATTCTCAGCTGAGCGCGAGCCCGAACGTGTTCCATTTGCCGCTTTTATCTGTAGGTGGAGAGCGTCAATGATGGAGACAGACATAGTAGGACCAAAGGGCTGGCTTAATCCCAGTAGCTGAAGTGTGAGCTGTACCCCTTTAATGAACAGAAAACATAATTTGTTGTTGAACTATAGTCTACTGAGAGTACTGTAGGAGGAAAAACTTCCATCTCCTCCTACAAAATGTTTCTTCCTGACTCTTTTCCAAATTATTAACCAACACGTGTTGTGTGAATGCGAGACACCAAATTTTCCTCTTTATAAAAGCTTTACAAAGATGTGCTGGAAATACTACAATGATAATAAATTATCAGTATTCAAACTTTTCTGCACAAGTAAGTAAGATGCATGACAAAATTTAAAAAAATGGACTTAGAACTGCAGTGAAAGTCAAATATTTTATCCCTGGATGGTGCAAATACATCTGCTGGAACACGGGAAACTTTAATATGCAAGAAACAGATGTTTAGCTGGCGTTCACTTCTCCCTCACCTAAAATTCTTTGTTCTTAATCTTTGTTTGTGTGAAACTATCCTGAGCCCTTAGGACTAACTGAAATGAAAAGAGGAAGACCACAGAGAAGATTCATGGATGTAATGAAAGAGGTCACGCAGAGGGTTGGTGTGACAGAGGATGGAAGGGATAGGATGAGATGGAGCCAGATGATCCACTACGGCGATCTTAAAGTGAGCAGGCGAAAGAAGCAGAAGATGAAGAAGACTGAAATACTCCGTCGTATAAAGTGTCCCGGTCAGCAGATAATGCGTTACATAACAGCGTCTCAATTTGCAAAGCCCTACCTGTCTGAGAAAAATAGGGCGTGTGAGACCAGTTCAAAATGCCAAGAGGCTGTCTGGAAGAAGCACGGCGCACAAGCACCAAATAATACTCTCATAACAATCCCTGTCTCATCCAAACATAATCCTAACTGGCTGGATACAAGCCATAACACACAGAGCTAAAGTGCTCTCGGAGCAGAGAACATCATTTTCGGGAGCTATTTAGGGCTCAACTGACAGCAGTATTGCCTGTTTAGTGTGTACACTATCCACTCTATCCCCAGCCACGCACGCACACGCACACACACACACACACGGAAACCACCACCACCACCCAGAATACTCACTCCAAGCAACACCCTGCTGAAATGGCATTTAAGCTGTTGCATAATCTTTGGAGGACTCGCAGCACAAAGGCAGAACACGACCCCTGAAATCAGATTACTCTAAAATGACTTTTTCTCTGGAAGTGTAAATGTTACCAGAATAAAGGAGTAATTTAACAAAGCTGGACTGCAGTAATGAAGTGTATACCTGAGACAGCTAAGGCTTTAGAAAGTCCAGTTACCTAAGCACAGTCATTTGACATTCAGTGTCAGTCCCCCTAAATTTAGCCTTACTTCTCTAACAAGGCTTTACTGCCATTGGAGGACTGACGGTAATTGAGGTCTGCTCGCTGGTTAGGGGTATTTAAACTGAAAGCCTCACTTCTACACCAAGTCCAACTCAAGGTAATTAATCTTCTTAACATTAGGTGCTTTTGTAGTGACCTACAGATGGACAGAGCACTGACAAACAGCCTCTCCAGGATGTCAATTACAGCATAGCACTGTTTCACCAAAAAACAAAACAAAACAAAAAAACCCAAGGCCCTGCCTAGGTTTATTTCCCAGAGACCCTTCTGTTATTAAACCAGAAGGTCCAACCTACAGATCACACTGGAATCACTACCCTTAGTATATGATTGCCTTCAATATAGCTCAAATAATCAGCCATGAGTCGTTGCAGACATGCTCTTTAAAGAATGCATAAATGCCCAACCCAGGGCTTTCCCCAAGTCTCCCAGATTGCCTTATTTGCAGCACAGCAATGATGTATCCTGCTAAGATCGCTGCATATTTTTTAGTACGTAGCAAATGCCAAGGTCAAACAGACCACTGCAAAGCTTGGATAAACACGAAACCGTTTCTAAGAAAGTGTCTGCCCTGTGTGAAGCCCTTGTAGCACAACAGGACAATCATAACACCTCCTTGTCTATATAAAAAGACATGTATGAAGTGCCCTTCATACATGTCTGTTACGTATAGGTTTCCATGTGCATTCATGGGTGTGTTGTTTGTGACAGTCTGTTGACTTCAATAGCAGGCTGGGTTCTCGACATCATGACCTCATTCCTTCTGGCTCTTAAGTCAACTCAGCACCCCACTTTCCTCTGGGAGTGGGCTGAAAGCTGCTGGTCATTCCAAGGAGCGCGTTGTACAAAGCAAGCTACAGTATAGCTCGCTTTGGACAAATTTGCTGCAGAAGAGAGGAATAGCAGCTTGATGTATTTTATTCCCTGATGGGAGCAAGCTGTATCCGAGAATAATGGAGAAAGTGAGCAAATTATTATTTTTTTCTCCAGCACATTGATAGGGCACCTAAAAGCCTGTTTATGACAGGATTGGTGTCAAAAATGGAATTTGATTTCACAAAACAATGCTGAAGTAAAACAATTTCTCTTCACATTGATGTGTCAGATAATGTTAATAAAACACAGGCAATACTAACTTCTGTTACTAAAAATGGTTGTTTAAGAAAAAAAAGATTTTCCCCAGATTTACTGACAGCCCTCAGAGGGGAGATGACACCATGTTAGAGGTGTACAGGTAGCAAAGAAATTAGCAAAGGAGTATTTTAGCACTTCAGAGCCTTGATTACAACATAAATCCTTTGATTATCTAGTAGCCTGGTTTCACAGCAATGCATGTAATCCAGCTGCACCCTGAAAGGACTGCTTTACGTGTATATAGCAAGCGCTGAGTGACCTTTTCAGGGCTCAGTGGAGCAATCATCTCCGAGCATGTTATGCACCCTGCAGCTGTGGCATAGGAGACGAATATGACAGAAGGATGTGGGAAACAACCCAATTACACAAACTCCAAGCAAGTGCCAGCAACAGCTACTTAGGACCACTGCTCTGCCAACTAACTACAACTCTTTATGTTAAAATTCGCTAACACAGAGGGGAGCGATCTCGTCAGGCATCGGCATCAGTCAGCTGGCTGTAAGCCAGGTAGCTACAGCATATCTTGCAGTAACAAAAAAAAAAAAAAGAGAGAGGGAGAATGTCGGAAATATGCGACAGCCGTGTGCTGACAGTGACAGCTCAAGCAGCTCTCTCACACTGAGTAAAAGCACAAAACCTTACCTGGCTTTCTGAGATAACGCCGTCTTGATAGTGTAACCTCAGGAAGGGCTGAAGAGATGATCTCTTGAATTGGATTAACGAACAGGCGGCCAACCAGTCAGGCGGAGGAGGTGGCGGTGGTAGAGGAGGAGGATGATACCTCTGAAGGGGTGATGCCCATATTCAATATGTAGCCCTGAAACGTCGGGGCGGACACATTTGACCTGCTTCTGTCGCCTACAGCGCCTGAGTTCGAGCTCTGGTCAAACACTGACACCAAAAAACCTCGAGTCAAATCATAAAAAAGCCTAAGCGCAGATAAAATAAGCAAACGGCGGGAAGCACGAGCCGCAGCTGACACTCTTCTTTCTGTTTTGCTTGACAGGAGGATTGTTTGTACACCGGAACAGCGGTTTACTCTCGATTACAGAACAGTGCGCAACATCCAGTCGTCACCCTGCCACACGAATCGTACAAACAAACAAAAAAAACAGTACACAACCTTGCTGAGAAGAGATCCGGTGGCGCCCTGTTTATCTTTCCGCCGTTCCTCCTGCCTTGCTCGGTAGGAAATCAGCTGCTTCGCACTGGAGGGACGCCATTTGTTTGTGAGAGGTTTTCCGTCTGCTGTCCTACGGTGCCCCTTAGAGGAGAGCTCAGCACCTGCCACCTATCCAAACAACAGCTCCCCCTGCTGTCAAAACACTGCAATCGCCTTTAAGCGTTTTCTCATTTGCCTTTACAGCCTACATTGCATACACAGTGCCCAACAAATGTCTTTTATGTACTCATTTATCTGGGTAAAAAATTAGAAAATACGGTTTGTCAAGAACTTTTTAAAACTAACAATTGATTTAATCAGTTGTTACGGAATTCACGTTTTTTATACAAGCATATTGGACTATTAGTGTGAATCACTATTTTTCAGCTTTTTGTGAAACAGTAAATTTGACAACATTTTAACAACAGTAATTATATTTTAGCTTTAAAAATGTCATTTTGATTAAATGCATTAAATGTGTATACTGGTTCATTAGCCATTACAGTAACATAAAAAGTGATTTTAATAATTGACAAGGCTGTTAATTTAGAAAAGCTGTGGCTTAAAATGACATTTTTTTAAATTAAATTTTTTTTTAATTTCAACTAGTATACATGCTTGTTTCCATTAATCTTTTGTCTGCCAGTCAAAATTTTATTTATTTGCCTAAATTTAAGACCTAAAAATGAAAAGAATTACAAATAGAAAAACGTGTTTTCATACACAAGCTTTTATGCAATCGAAATTGTGACCTACATCTCAGTACTCAGTCAGCTGCAGTGAACTGCAATAACATTAGTTTCAGTTCAGCTATGTGTGAGTGTTGCAAAACATAAATCAGACATTGTAAGGTATGTGTTTGACAAAAAAAACCAACTAAACCATATCCAGATAGAGGCAGTGACAGAAATATTGAAACCACTCAAGCTATTTGAACTTCTATACAACATTTTCAGTAAATTGAAAGTAGAAAAGTATTGCTGATCTTGTTGGAACCAGCTACAGTCTGCTAGGTTTATACAACAGATAAGATCAGTGTACTTAATTTTCCAAGGCCTGGAAGGTCCACACAATGGTGCGGCTTTGTTGTTGTTAGCCTCGTGGTCTGGCCTCTTGCTCTGAGAGGAGACCACCGTTCTTTCATATCAGCGCTATCCATGTTTATCTTACTTTGCATAAAAGTGTGTTCTTATTTCTGTTCTACCTTAAGAGGAAAACAAATTATAGTATCAAAAAAAGTTTAAAATGTACAGTGACAAATAGTTACAGTGGCATGCAAAAGTATTCGGCCCCCTTGAACTTTCCCACATTTTGTCACATTACAGCCACAAACATGAATCAATTTTTTTGGAATTCCACGTGAAAGACCAACACAAAGTGGTGCACACGTGAGAAGTGGAACGAAAATCATACATGATTCCAAACATTTTTTACAAATAAATAACTGCAAAGTGGGGTGTGCGTAATTATTCAGCCCCCTGAGTCAATACTTTGTAGAACCACCTTTTGCTGCAAGTTACCAGCTGCCGTCTTAGGTCTTCTCTCCATTTGCTAAGATGAATCTTGCTTCTTGCAAACTCTCAGTCAGTAGGCAGCTTTTGCAGTTCAATCTGCGATCGATTAGACTGGAGATGGCATCTAACTTTGCCCATTCTTCTTTGCAAAACAGCTCCAGCTCAGTCAGATTAGATGGACAGCGTTTGTGAACAGCAGTTTTCAGATCTTGCCACAGATTCTCGATTGGATTTAGATCTGGACTTTGACTGGGCCGTTCTAACACATGGATATGTTTTGTTTTAAACCATCCATTGTTGCCCTGGCTTTATGTTTAGGGTCGTTGTCCTGCTGGAAGGTGAACCTCCGCCCCAGTCTCAAGTCTTTTGCAGACTCCAAGAGGTTTTCTTCCAAGATGCCCTGTATTTGGCTCCATCCATCTTCCCATCAACTCTGACCAGCTTCCCTGTCCCTGCTGAAGAGAAGCACCCCCAGAGCATGATGCTGCCACCACCATATTTGACAGTGGGGATGGTGTGTTCAGAGTGATGTGCAGTGTTAGTTTTCCGCCACACATAGCGTTTTGCATTTTGGCCAAAAAGTTCCATTTTGGTCTCATCTGACCAGAGCACCTTCTTCCACATGTTTGCTGTGTCCCCCACATGGCTTGTGGCAAACTGCAAACGGGACTTCTTATGGTTTTCTGTTAACAATGGCTTTCTTCTTGCCACTCTTCCATAAAGGCCAACTTTGTGCAGTGCACGACTAATAGTTGTCCTATGGACAGATTCCCCCACCTGAGCTGTAGATCTCTGCAGCTCGTCCAGAGTCACCATGGGCCTCTTGGCTGCATTTCTGATCAGCTCTCCTATGATTCATGTTTGTGGCTGTAATGTGACAAAATGTGGGAAAGTTCAAGGGGGCCAAATACTTTTGCAAGCCACTGTATTGTGGAAAAAATGACTTTATTTTGCCTTGTTACTTAACCACATAAAAAATTAATTATGACAACATCATTGACAAGTTGTCCTTCAATCTAAATTTGTTGTGTAAAATTATAATTTGAATATAACACTCAATGTTACTTTGTTCAACAATCATAAACAGTACAATATATTTCCAATACAATACAGTACATCTTTATTTATAGAGAATATTTAAAAACCAGCGGTATACCAAAGTGCTTAACATAAAAGACAGATATTTAGATAGTTAATAAAAAACAAAGAAGAACAATACTTCTGGATCACCTTCTATTTGGTGACCGTAACCTTCAAATAACCCCCCCCCCCCCTCCAGAACACACACACACGCCTAGATATATCTGAATATTTACATTCCTAGTGCAAAATGATCATACTGTAGAGCATATCAATGCAAACACTTAGCAAAGGAGCATCAAACACAAGCTGAAGAATCATTTTACCACTCTAGCTTCATATCAGCTTTGCTCCACACATACTTTCCCCCTCTTTTTAGAAACATCTTTTCATCGAAGCCGCTGAAGCGAATCGCCTCCTTTACTCCAACATCAAGGATGGATTTGGAAGGATCCTTCCGTCCCCCTCGACAGTCCAGGAAACGCATCTGTAACAAAAAAAAGGAAAAAAATCAACATATGAAGTAAGTTTCCTTCAGCTAAAATGCCTAGCAAGTTACTAATTTAAACAATTATACCAAATTCAAGCCTTTTCACTTAATTTGAGCAATCCACATTCATATAACTCAAACATACAGTTCATTTTTTTACTTAAACATCTGATAAAATGGCTCAGCCGCACTACCAGTTAGCAATAATCTGAAGTACTTACATATTCATCCAGGATCAGATAGGAGTTCCTCATCTATTAAAACAAAAAAGACCACAAATTTTAATTTTTGTGTATCCTAACTTTGGATTTTCAACCATTAATTACAGCACAACAAAGAATTATTTTAGGCAGGATGACCTGAGCTCATGTTTCAACCTAATATTTATGTTTAGTTCCTACTTTTCATGCCATAGTGCTGCAAAATTGAGGCGTAATACAGAATGAGCACACCAAAGATATGAAACATGGATATTCTAGAAGTTATCATAGTAATATACCAAAAGTCTATACCAAAATATTCCCTTATATTTGGTGGCCATCTATACAGCAACAAGGAGAAAACAACATCAAAATTCCTAACTGACAGTGGTGTTCAAAAGTCAACTTTTGTATAGTTTGTTTGTTTAACTGTGCATTGTCTGTGTTTACTATAATAATATTCACATTTTATTCACTCTAGGCATACCAAGCTCTAATTCTACGCCCTTACTTAAATCAAAAATTTAAAAAAAAAAGGATGAAAAACATGTTTCCCACAGAATACATTATGGTTATTGCATTAAACATATTTGCCATACTTGCTGCACATGTCTGAGAATTATACCTTCTCATTAGACTCAGGAACAAGGCAAGAGACGCTGCTGTGTCTGTCCAGAAACTCCTGAAACTGCTGATCACTGATGACAAACCTCTCTGCCTCTCTCAGGGCTGTCTCGCCTGCGTTTTCCCCGTCAATCAGCAGGCACTGAAAGACCTGAAAACAAGAACGAGACGTTCAGTACATCCATGATTATCCCGTACAAACATATTTATTTACTTATTTTTTCATTTTTACCTTCCAGCGGACAGGATTAATCAAATTGATTTGCTGTGTCATGTCTTCGTCATAGTTGAAGATGTTGATGACGGAGTTGATTTTCAGTGCCACTTTATACTCCTTGCACCAGCTGCAGATCTTGAAGAGGTTGTCAAGGTGGCTCTTCCTGCCTTGAGTTCTGCCAATCAGCTGGTTGGTTGCTTCATCAAAGCTGTCACAGGAGATAGCTAGAATGTCCAGATAGATACCTAGAAGAGGAAATTAAAGTGAAAGAGATCATAAATGTAAATTATTTTATGGTATATGGCACAGCTGGAATGTACCCATAAAAAAAGAAGCTGTTAATAACTTAGCTATCTTACCATATTTCTGGAACCATTCTTCTTTGATCATGCTTCCATTGCTGACAATGCTGACACTTGGGAGCTGAAGGTCCTGTTTGCAGTACTGGACCAATTTCCCCACAAACTCTCCCTTATTATGCAGGAAGGGCTCTCCGCCAGAGAAGTTGATCTTTTCCATCCCTTAAAAAAAGACATAAATTTAATAGCATGCACAGCAATTTGACAAAAAACAAAGCTTATTGTTATTAATTTGTCAAATCACCTGATTCCTTTAGAAGTTTAAGCCCCGTCTTAGCTTCCTCCAGGGGCAGGACGAAGGACGTTTTTGCAGTGTGGAAACAAAATCCACATCTATAATTACATTTGCGCGTAAAGTGGTAGTTGACGCTCGTTGGGATCATTGGATTTTGGTCTTTGTTTTGGTCCAGTTTATCACCAGCAACGAATGAGTTTGTTCCCTTGCAGGCTCCTGTTGTCCAGTAAGTGAGTTTTGAAAAGGCGATCTCAAAAATGCAGTAGATGGTGCTGATGAAGCGCCGCAGAAGCAGCCTGGGAGACGAGACAGCAGGAGAAAAATCCATTTTTTAAATGACGAGTTGTGCTGTCAGACTTGCTATGTTTGCAAGATAAATGCTGGCGCGTCATAAGCCGAAACCCGCAGGGCGCATCTTATATAGAGGGTGTGGGGAGTCGGTCAGCTGCTGAGCGACTCAAAAGTTTCTGTTTACAAACAACGAAAACGAAACCTAGCCTGGTTCCATCCTGCTGAGATGCAAGAAATAATTTACGCGCGTCATGACAACGCATTCTTTGCATTTCTTCACAGTGTCATTCGTCCATTAAACCTTTATTAGAGACCTTTATGTACAGTAGCGATATGCCATTAAATATTGCAGGACTTATAGATCTTTAGCTCTAATGGTCAAACTTTCAGTGATAAATGCTTCTTTGTAAAACAGTTTCTGTTTCGAGTCTGGGTGCATTCAGTTGTAGTTTTCACAGCCTCGCTACTTGTCCAGTCTCTTGGTGTCTCTCATTTTCCTTAAACACGTTCAAGAAACACAACTTGGATTCCTGGAAAGAATTCCTGAGCTGCCCCTGCGAGGCGTTGGCTTCAATAATAAACGCGTTTCACAGTAAACGAAAAGTTTCGTTTTCTCCGTTTGGCGCCGTTACTATCGTTTTCCCTTCAGCTCACACGATGCGTCTCGGGACATATTTTGGAAACAGATAAGGGCATCTGGTGTACAAGATGTCAAAACACGCAATGTCTCTTCTTCCACGGTGGTGCTCTCGTGTTTTTTCAGTGGAGTTAAATGGAGCGCCTTTTTATTTTGCTGTTAAGGAAAAGCACCTGGGAGAAGACGTGCCGAGGGTGTTCAGAGAAGTTCAAAACCGTGACAAGTGCTACTCTGTCCTTGTTTACTGCAGCAGAGACAGAATCAAAACGGCGAAGTTTTACGGGGAGCTGAAAGACAAACTGCTGAGGGACTTGCCTCCGGAATGTCGCTTGTCTCCCATGTCTTCATTTCTACCAAAAGTCAGGGATTCTCTCGTTAAAGGTTACTTTTTAAAAGGGAATTCTGACACTTCCTCCCCGATAGAGCGGCTTTTGAGTGATTTAATACAACATGACCCAGTGTTAGTTTGTTCGTACTCTCCAGCTGAAGACGGCCAACAGTGGATGCAGCACATGTGGTCAGAGACAGCAAGCCAGGTGATGGATGTGGCAAAGGGATACTATGTGGTACCCTCAGAAGCGCCAGAATATCACCCATCTACTCTCAACATTATCAATTCAGATGTATTCTACAGCTTTGATGAGGCCTATGACGTGATGAAAAAAGTACGTATTTTCTCATTCTAATGTTTACAAGGCTGTTTTATGTTTATTTTAGTATACCGCATAAGATTTTGGCAAACGGGCGCACTCTTGTGGAGGATGTAGGGATAGCAGTTTATACCAAGAGACCCAGAGCTCTTGCTTCTAACGTTTATCTATCAGGGAGGGCCAGGTGGCCCACAGCACCGTGTGCGCTCATTGACAGCACAGTCTATGACTCACTCCTGCCTGCTTAACTGATTTGTCTGTTCTGCAGTGTGGTGACATCATCCCAGAAGCTAAGGCTGTGCTGGAGCTGCTGCCCAGCAGGGTGGAGGCCAGAAATAAACCAGACTTCCCTGTTATTGTCATAGAGGGCCTGGATGCCACAGGTTAATGCCATTACCTCATAAATAAATATGTGATCAGTCTGATGCATAGATGTCATCCTAAAGTGGTGGCTGGTTGTTCTCCGCTAAAGCCATTATCTGCCAGGGAGCTTCAGTTAATGGAATATCATGTATCATGACCTCAGAAAAGTTACATCACTTTGAAATGGTTTACTGTGCAGCTCGCTCCTTTAATACTATTTTCAAACCTTCATGAAACCTCAACTGTGTGGTTCAAGAGGGAGTTTTAGTTGAACTTTTCAAGGGCCACCGCAGTTTCTTTTAATATGAACAAAAAGGATGAATTCCTCCTTTTGTGATTCGAAGATGTTCAGACCTTTGTTTTCTTTGGTTTTGAGGTGAATCTATTTCCTGTCCTTCTCTGTATCACAGGTAAGACCACTCTGACTGAGTCTCTGAAGGATACACTGGGGGCCACTCTTCTGCCATCCCCACCAGAGTGCCTTTCCCCCTGGAGAGCCCGCTTTGATCAGGAGCCACCCCTCATCCGCAGGGCCTTCTATGCTCTGGGGAACTACATCTCAGCAGATCAAATAGGCCTAAAGGGCACAAAGACACCTGTCATTGTTGACAGGTAAAGACAGCTGAGATGTTGCAGGTGGAGTGAGGTCTGCCTGTTTTGTGACCTTTTTTTTTTCTTTTGTAAGAACTTGTAGGTCCCGCTGAGATCCAGAGCTATACAACTCAATATTCAGTGGCTACCAAGTCACCTGATGCGACTTCCACCTGTCATTCACCTTTCAATTCACCATTGATTACCTGTCCCCAGATTTTGGCACAGCACAGCGGCCTATGCCATCGCCACAGCGGTGAGTGGTCCAGTGTGCAACCTTCCAGGAGAAGGTTCAGAGGTGTACTGTTGGCCTAGCGACCTGTTTCAGCCCAGCCTGGTGGTCTTACTCACACTTGACCCCGAGGAAAGGAAGAGGAGACTGAGAAACAGAGGTCAAGGAAAGACTGATGAAGAGGAAGAGCTGGATCACAACCAGCTGTTCAGACTCAGGTAGTTGGAGTGCTTATGCATAATGTATTATTTACTCAGTTAGCATTATACTTGCATTAGAACACTCATCAAGCAAGTGAAAATGCCCATTTAGACTGAAAGCGTAAATAATTGGTTGTGAACTTGTGATAACATTAATATGGATCTTTTAAAGTAGTTCTCTGTGCATATTGCTGGCACTCTTAATCTGATTGAGGACAAGTATGATGATTCTAGGTACCCAGACTTGGTGATGTCAGGCACGTCAGACAAAAATGAAAGGCTCCGCTATGTTATACTTATATTAAAGAAAAAGAAAAAGAAGAAAAAGTATGAGTGTTAGAGCATGAAAGCGAAGATCAGTACAAACCCGACTGTGGATTCACAGTCAAGTCAGCTCAGTCTTCGTCTGATCCATCAAACACTTAACAATCAATTACGGTCCCATGGGAGAGGCAGCTGATGAGAAAGAGCAGGTGATTAGTTGCTGAGCTGCTGTGCTCCATTAAGCTGGTCAAAACTGGCAGGCACTGCCGGCCTAGTTAGTTGCTACACAGACAGGTCGATGGCTACTTTCATTCGTCTTCTGTCCTGACATAATGGCCTTTCCACACGGGACAGCCAGATGTTGGGCCTGCAGAATTAGAAAATGGAGGGAGTTGACAGTCAGCCTGTGAATGAGTGAGGGATTCTGCAGACTTGGCCCGCCACTATCAAAAGGACAATTCTTCACTGGTAACAGGAATAGCAGAACTCTGAGCCATCTGTGTTGTTTCTCAAAAATGTACTGTATTGTATACCTTACTGTGCAGCAAAGCTGTAAGCAATCACAATACTAAAATTTGTCTTGTGCTGCACGCTTCCTTCACTCCTTGACCAATGTTTGCGTGTGTGTGTGCGCAGAGTGGAGGAGGCTTATCGGAGGATCAGCGGCCCAGCTTGTGTTACTGTGGATGCTAGTCCTTCTGCAGACCGAGTGCTCCAACAAGTACTGCTTTTAATTAGGGGCAAATGCCACTTGTAAACAACTCTCCATCTCCCCTGCTGGCAGTCAAGCATCAAGTGTATGCAGTGCATCCCGTCACCACTAGGTGCCAGTAAGGCATCGTAAATGTGATTGCAGACAGACTAGTGGGCAGATTGGAGTGTGGAGAAGAGATTCTATTCATAACGTGTAAAGGTTGAATGCCAGGGGCCAGAACTGCATGCTACAATCAGAAATACATATTCATGTAGACACACACACGCACACATACTCACACTAATGTATTGTCAGGAAGAAGTGTACATCTAACGACTGTTGTGACCTCTCAGAAATTAGACACTGTGTAGCCTTCAGATACCTTGTAGCAGCACTTTTTTTTTTTTGCAGACTGACGCTCGCAAAGTGGATAGGAACATTTATATAAGGGCGACGAGTTACTGCAGATTGAATCAAAATGCACAAATAAGAAAAAACAAATCTTAAAATGTACGTTGAATGTTAGCTTGTTAAAATAAATGCAGAACCCAGTCTATCTTCGGATAACATATTTTCACTTGTTAAAAAAAGTTTTTGAATTAAAAGAAAATGACACTAAACATCTGTTTGTGTTTTCTCTTCTACAAACTGTGTATAGCTGCATGTTTGTGTTGCTTATATAACTGGCTATGAACATGAGCACAATGTCCTGCTCTGTTTGCAAGAACATGAACTCAGCTGTGTGATACTGACACAAGTGATTCACTAAGATCACATGGCACTATCTGTACTTGATGCTCTCATAAGCACTGGCATTTTCAAGTTGACACGTAAATGTACACACGCCTACTTTTGTAAAACACACACACACAATCATGCACATCTACTAAGAGCATATACTGTAACTCATTTATATAGGGAGGAAGTGTATATTTGGCCTATGTGATGGGAAGATTAATTGGGGGTTTTAGTAATTATGAGCTTGGCAAAGCTGCAGGGTGGAGAAGACAGAGTGACCCATCTCTTTTACTGCGATGCATCAGCAGAGTGCCAAGCAATGCAGACCCTATTCATATGGCAATTAATGGAGCGCTGTATATCAATGTCATTTCATTGGTCCCCCACATAAGTGCATGGAATCACTCTTTCTACCAGTTATAGCAATTCAGTGTTTTACTGAATGCAGAGGTGCTGCGGATGCAAATCTTACCATCGCATGCCGTCACACAGACTAAAATTAAGTCATTATGTTTATAGAGTATGGTTTCCTACATGAGGCAGCTGTGTACAGTTTGCTGAATTCATAAGCTCCTTAGCTGCCCCGTGCCTCAGTGGATGTTCTGTATGGCACAGAATGAATGTAGTATAGACCATGTGGAATTTTGATTACCATTAACACAGAGAGTCCAAAATGTATGAAGTTGGGAGAGCAAGCCAATTAGGCCTCCTGCCATATTTCATACCTGAATGCAAAGCTGTGTGCGCTAGCAGTGTCAGCCACATTTCCC